GTAAGTTTCTGTATTCTATCAAGTTTGCTAAGTTTTCAGTCATCATTTCATCAGATTCTCTGTCTGTACCAGTATCTTTCTCCTCTGTTGTTGAGATTTCAGTGACATGAATGTTAGACCTTTCAGTATTGTCTGCAGGTCTCTGAGGCTCTGTTCACTTTTCTTTAAATATTTTTCTCTCTGTTGTTCAGTTTGGAGAATTTCTTTTAAATTTTTTTTTATTATTTCAGCTACTGAGCAAGTTTGTTGATTACTGTTTCTCTTGGGAGTTATTTAATGTATTTCTGGTTCTTTTTATGTCAAGAATTTTGGATTGGGTCCTGGACATTTTGAATATTTGTGAGGCTCTGGGCTCAGTTATAGCCTTGTGGAGAATGCTACCTTTTTTTGTTTTAGCAATTGATGTGGTTCATTCCTGGGCCTTACCTGAGCTTGGGTCTGGAGGGTCTGACAAGGAAGTTTTTCTTCTGGGATTGTCTGCCCGAGAGAGAAAGCTGGGAGACATGGGCTAAAAGGAAGCTCAGGGGAGTCACCGCTATGTGGGTCATTCTTTGACTTGATTTTCCTACCCACTGTACTGGCTTTTAGTTTTTCAGAGCCTTTTCATAACTGCTGTCTTCTCTCCAGGGTTTGCAGGTATAATCGCTCCAAGGCTATGGCAGGATATACTTACCCACCTTGCCTGGGACCAGAAGTTTCTTTTCCCCCAGGCATGGTGGCACACACCTGTAATCCTAGCACTCGGGAGGCTGAGGCAGGAGAATTACCATGAGTTCGAGGCCAGCCTGGGCTACACAGTTGAGTTTAAGGCCAGCCTGCACTACATAGTGAAACCCTGCCTCAAAAAAAAAAAGTTTCTTTTCTTTGTCACTTTAAAAATGTCCTGCTTTGTTCCCTCTTCTGTGTGTCTTAAGGCATTTTCTGTTTTATTCACTGTGTTCTTTCTCATTTAGTCTACATTAAAAATTTTTTTTCTAATTCTTGTCGAGTTATTTCACTCCTTTTGTGAGGTTTTCTAATTCTCACAATTATGTCATGATGTAATCAGTTGTGTTGACCTGGGTTATATTGTTCTTTCACTCCTCACATTATTATTGTATGCCCTTTTCTTGTGTTGCACTGTTAAGTTTTAGTTTTTATGTGTTTTGTAGGTATGTCTTTCTAGAGTGCCCTTGTACCTACAGGAGTGGCTTTCCTTTAGTTTTTTTCTTGAAATATGTTTATATAGTGTTTTCCCTTTTTTGCTCATTTTTACATGAGATTACTTTTCAGCTTTTAGAAGGCGGCCTGAATTTCACGGCTCTCAGGCTCTCTCTTCTGTTACTTCTGTGAAATGTTGAAATATGTGGCTGCTCACTTTCTGAAATCTGCTCACTTTGCTCCCCCCTACCCCCTTTTTTTTGGTACCAGGGATTGAACTCAGGTCCCTGTGCTGTGAGGCAGGTGGCGGAACCACTGAGCTAAATCCCCAGCCCTACCCCACCCCTTTTAAAAATACAGACTTCTCTTTCCTCTGTCTCCTTAGTCCCTGTGCTGCTCAGTTCAGACTCTCTGCTGCAAGGTTTCTTCTTAGTTTGGGGCTCTGGAAGAGGGCTTTAGCTGATGAGGCCTGAGGATTCCCCAGGCTCATGTTGTGAGCGTGAGGCTGTGCGGAATCCTCAGCATCCCGTGAGTCCCTGTAGGGCCTCAGCTCCATTCAGTCCCGGTGATTTCCTCCGCTTCCTCCCACACACAAGTATACCATGCAGGTCTCATGGGTCCTAGTGGCTTGTTCATACCCATTTGGGATGTAGCATTTTGGAAAGTCCTTATTATTTAGTTTGTTTTGCATATTGTCCGTGAGTGTTGGGATTTTTCACTCTGTTTCTCTGTTTTTAATAGGCAGTTGTGGAAGATGAAGAAAACTGTGTCACCATGTTGTCACCTTTATCTCAGTTTACCTTAATGAAAAGATGAGCTCTTCTGCTAAGAGTGAGGCTAGGTGGGAAACTTAAGGGCAGAGGTGAAGGTTCAGAGTGGACCCTGATGGAAACGGGCGGGGACCTGACAGATCAGAGTGAGATGCGGTCGCAGTGGAGGCAGAGACCGACCGCAGGTTAGCAGTGGCACCCATCTGTGTGGATGAGGACTTTCTACAAAACTCACCCTTACAGCTTCCACCACAAGGAAAGCACCAGAGCAGGCTCATGGTTGGATTAGATTAGGATTGTAGTCTGGTCTTTTTGAACGGACAGAAGGACCAGAATGTTAGAAGGCTGAGATGACTTTTGGGAGAAGAATTCCATCCCCAGGAAGTGAACCTAGCATCAGGCTGCTAAATTGGGAGAAGTTGGAAAAGATCAAAGAACTGAATGTCTTTTAGGAAACTAAAGAGCAAGTGCAATAGAAGGAGCCCTAAAAATGTACCAGAAAGAGACTTTTGTCAGGATTTAGGGCTTACGATTTCATAGATGGAACAGATTCAGCTAATAACCAAAAATGTTCCATATCAGATGTACTTTCATATATCTGACTTCAATTATAAATACTCTGGAATTTCCATTCTCAACAAAAACCAGTACCCTAGAATTGTATACCATCATAGGAGTTCAAGAGCCACAAAGAACGCTTTGGAACTGTCATAAAAACATGAATGTCCCTTGCTGGGGATTTAGCTCAGTGGTTCCAGTGCCTGCTTCGCAAGGGCAAGGTCCTGAGTTCGATCCCCGCTACAAAAAAAAAATTGGGCCGAGGATTTAGCTCAGTGGTTCCACCACCTGCCTCGAAAGCACAAGGACCCAAGTTTGATTCCCGGTACCCTGCCCCCCGAAAAAGAAATTAAAAAAAAAAAAGAATGTCCCTAGTCATGTTTCTGTGTGTGGCAAAAAGCTCTATGCTTTTTGAACATTCTCATTATGGCAACAAAGTGAAATTACTTTTCATAGGTGATACCAGTATTTCTGAACATTATCTAGAGTTACTTTGTTAATGGCTTAAAGTTCCTGCTGAAAGTGATAGAAGTTAATTAAAAAATTCTATTTTAGCATCTTAATGAATGTAAAGTATTTTTACAAGACTGTAAACAGAACGGCTCTTGAAAAAGATATGCCAATCCACAAGTAATATTATGTTTAAAATCTGGCTGGAATAAAGGTTATTTGGGGTGGGGAATCTCAAATTATGTCATTTATTTAAGGGAAATATAATGTAAGCTGCCAGCTCTATAGTTTAGCATACTTTAAAGAAATTAAACAGATTTTATTTAAAATAGAGCAAGGAAAAGAGTGATTGCTTATCACAGTATAAAAAATCAGTTTCAGTTCTTTGGAATGCTTCTTTCCACTAATTTCCACATTGTTTGAATTTAAATATTTATCCTCAGAAACAAAGAAAGTAAAAGATCTTCAAAAAGCTTCCCCCCTCCCATTCTCAAGATTTTAGGGTTAAAACTTGATGAAATTTTTATTAATACAAGTATTGAATAGAGTGTTTATATGTCATAGCTCAATGAAATGCTAGTGATAATGGGAAAACATTGAATTTTAAGTATAAGTAGGGCAAGTGATTGATTTTGCTGGTCTTTGCTGAAGCTGACTTGTTAAGATCGTCATGTGGTTCGAAATTAATAACGAACAAAATGCCCAAGACTCTTCCAGAAATTGTCAGGTCATACTTTTTCCATTATCACTGGATTTGAGGTTGGATGGGTGCTTTGGTTTATGTGTAGAGTAGTTATTGTGTATTTATTTCCATTCTTTCAATTAAAAAATACTGGAGAGCCTAAAGTGTTTTGGGAATAGTTCCTGTGAAACATTTTGCTGTACTCAGAATTTTGTTAACTTCAAAGAACATATGTATACATAAAACATTTATATTTGTGAGCTTATTGCTGTTTACCATATAAATAATATACATTTTTAAAGAACTATTTTGAGAATTGTAAATTAGAACTCTCTTCTTCTTTCATGATATTGCCTTTCTGTCATACTTTCAAAGATTTGGTGGAGTGTGTTGACCCCAGCATCCCATGTGATTATCTGAGCCTGTGTTATAATTAGAAAGGAAGGAAGATTTGTGTGTGACAGGAAGGGACTCTTGTAGCCAAGTAAGTTGAGAAAACTCCATCTTGTGCATCCAGTTTACCAAAGTTAGAATGAATGTTAGTCTGTTTTTGACTCAGTAGAAATCCATAGTAAAGAACCCTGTTTAATTTTAAGCCCACCACTTCCCAAGTTTATTAACTCTCAAAACCTTGTATGCAACTGTTCATAACGATTATAGTACCCAAACATCTAATAACCGATGAATGAGTAAAGAGAATGGATCTGTTTTTATGTATTCGATTTTATATATCCGTGTAATTGAATGTTACTTGGCCATAAAAAGGAAGGACTTATACAGTACATGCTACAACATGAGTGAATCTTTTCCCCCAATTTTTTTTATACCATGAGTGAATGTTGAGAATACTGTGCTAAGTGAAAAAGGCCCCAAAGAAGATCATATATTAATTGCTTCTATTTATGGGAAATGCTTGTTGTAGGCAAGTCCATGGAGACAAAGAGACAACGGATAGTTGCTGCCAGGCTGGGAACAGGGGCACTGGGTAGTGGACTACTCCTGGGTACAGGTTTCTTTTCAGGGTGATGAGGTGTTCTGTAAGTGGACAGAGGTGATGGCTGTGATACTAAAGCCCACTGAGTTGATCCTTTAGAAGGGTGCGCTTTAGGATACATGATTTATATGTCAGTATGCTATTGTTACAAATGGAGGGCTGTAGCAGCAAGAAGGGTGCGTAGAGATCGGGCAGTGCGTGTAGGAATGGAGGAGTGAACTAAAGGGCATAGGAATGATTTTTTACTGGCGTGGATGTAGCATCCTCAGAGCTGCAGCTCTTAGGGGACAGAGCTGGCTGCTCCAGAGCCCGCTGCTCCAGAGCCCGGGTTTGCACTTGAGTGAGCAGTGGGCAGCTTCACCGAGACTGAAGGTGTTCTGTACATAGTAGGTGAACACCCTAACTAAAACTAAACATTTGAGTCACCTGTAGATGCAGGGATGGCTGAAGCAGTACACAGAGTTGTGGCCTTGCCTGGACTTTTTCGTAGCTCAAAATATTTTTTATGCTGCCAGTCTGCTTTCACCCGTGCAGCGAGACAGAGGACACGTCCTCAGTGCTGTCTACCTGACCTAGTGTGAGCCCACAGACCCTGGCCTCATCTTCCAGGAGGAAGGACATCCAGAGGACCTGGAGATGGTGCAGAGTGGGCAACACAGCTCATTGGTTGCACATTTGGGAAGGTATTCATTTTTAGATTATTATTATTATTGTTATTATTATTTTGTAAAGAAATCCATGGGCTTCCTCTTTGTGTCTATCCCCAGTAGCAAATCTCCAATCTTGTTTTTGCCACTGTGGAAAGGGCCGGCTCTTTGGAGTTGAGTCTTTGCCTTTGCTCATGGGGAGACGCTTCATCCTTGGGTCCAGAGGTGTGACATCCCCTCGGGCTGAGGATGGTGCATTCTGGGCAAATGCCAAGGCAGCGGATCCCCTCCCTCGGCCCTCCCAGGCTGGGGACATGGGGGAGCAGGAACGTTCAGAGCTCCTGAAGAGTTCATTACCGAGCACAGGCTCACAGGAGGAGTCTAACAAGGTGACAATGGACGCTCTGACATCTTACCTGAGTGGACACTTTCCAAAGACTCCTGTGTACAGCCGAGACTCTTACCAGGCATCTGAAAAACTGCTTCTAAAGAGGACTGTTTCTAACAGAGCTGAATGCCTGGCCATTCACAGAGGTCTCTGTTTTCCTATTACAGGTTTCTGAGACAGCTTGGGCAGGAGGGAGGAGCCCTGGTCTGCGTAAGCAACTCTGGGCAGCCTTGGGGAGGCCGTGCGGTGATCACAGACTCTCCGGAGTCTCACTGAGGCTCACCGAGGATTGCAGAGCGCCCACCGAGTCCTGTGGGCTCACGTGTACACGGGGACAGCTGCCTTCTGCAGCCCCACCGTGAGGACCAAGTTTGACAGTGGACGGAGCACTGGAGGCATGGCCTGTGGGCACTGGGCAGCCACTTTATTTCTGGAGATTGTTTCATCAGACTGTGGCCTGTTTCCTTCACTTCTTAAAAGGTGAAGATGGGCCCTGTATATTTTAGGGTCGTTGAGAGGATAAAATTAGGTACTGTGTGCAGTTATATAAATATTAAGGTTTAGTTGAAGAAGACTTTCACAAAGATCTTGGTAATGTCTTACAGAGTTTTAGCACTTATGCATAGCAGCCTGTTTTTTTACTGTAATTCCCCTCCCTGGTTACTTAATTTTGAACCCTGATATCTCCACTGCTTATAGTGATCTTCATAAAAGAGAATTTCTCATACTGAAACATAAGGAAGAGAGTACTTTCTGCCTCTTACTTAAAAATTGTATGTGAGTGGGGCATTTAGCTCAGTGGTTCGGCCGCCTGCCCTGCAAGCACAAAGAAACAAGTTCAATCCCCGGTACCAAAAAAAAAAAAATCATTATGTGAGCTGAGGATGTGTCTCCGTGGTAGAGTGCTCACCTAGTATGTGTGAGGCCCTGGGTTCAATCCCCAGCACCAGAAAAAAATAGGTGTGTGTCTATTTACATTTATATCTATATTTGTATAGTCTATCTATGTCTTTATCATAAAGGTAATGTTACGACTTTATAAAAATTTGGAGAAGAGGAAAATTTGCCTATAATTCCATCAGTATAATAGTGGTTTTACAACTACCTCCATCTATTCCCTAGATAGATAGATGACAGATAGATAATCGTAAACCACAGTCATACACAGATAGGAACCTTGCTTTTCCTCTGGTAACTGTTTTCTATTCAAGTAAATGTGTTTGGTATCTATCGAGTAGAATTGTGAAGATTCAGTGGTTTAAGTGCTTGTTACTGCGACCAACTTACCATCAGTGTCACAGAACAGGAGCCAGTTGTCATTTTAACCGTTGGCATTAGCTTTCTCTAGTTTTTACTCTTTCCTTGGGCTGCCAGCTCAGGTTGAATTCTTCTCAGGCTCTCGACACAGGGCACCTGTCACACTGTTCTCCATGTGTGGAGCCTCAGCTCCTCTTCACTGGCACTTGGGATGCCCCCTGGGCTATTTTTAGGTGTAGGGAGCTAATTTAGTAGGTAAAAGATGTTGTCTCATTATTTGGGTTTCTGTTACTACTGATGTTGAACTTTTTTTTTTGTTTGGTACTGGGGATTGAACTCAGTACCTTGTGCTTGTGAGGCAGGCAGGGTGCCACTGAGCTAAATCCCTGGCCATAAACTTTTTGTTGTACGTTTACTGGCAATATTTCCTCCTTTTTAGGTCTAATACCTAGTTCTACTTAATTATTAGAATCACTTAATATTTTCTTATTGCATTACCTGCATGCTTTAATAAAGATATTAATTCTTTGTCATACAGGCTGCAAATATTTTTCTGAATATTCTCTTATTCTGGCTATGAGTGTTTTAAAAAGTTCACACACACACAATATGAACTCTCTTCTGAGCTGGACATGGTGATGCATGCCTGTTGTCCCAGCACTTGGGAGGCTGAGGCAGGAGGATTGCCATGCTTTTGAGGCCAGCCTGAACTAATCATGAGACCCTGTCTCAAAAAAGCCAAAATAAATAAATAAATACACTCTCTTCATTTGTGTCTATCACAAGGAATTTTCTCACCATCCTTGCTAGGGCTGATGGTTGTGTCTTAACACTTGTGGTGGTTGGGGCCGGGGATTTAGCTCAGTGGTTCTGGCACCTGCCTCATAAGCTCAAGGTCCCAAGTTTGATACCCGGTACCAAAAAAAATCTGTTGGGCTGGGGATTTAGCTCAGTGGTTCCGGTGCCTGCCTCACAAGTGCAAGGTCCTGAGTTCGATCCCCGGTACCAAAAAAAACAAAACAAAACACTTGTGGTGGTTACATGGGCCCCTAATATAGTGGACACACATCTTTCATGGTGGAATGCAATTCATTTGCCACCAGAGTTAAGTGCAAAATACATAGATTCTCCACAGACCCAGAGAATGTTTCTCTTCTTTAGGAAAATGAGGTAGGTAGGAAGGACGCTGACAGACCTACTGCCTGACTGCTGTCACAGGTCACCACTGGAGCTCTCAATGGCAGGCGTCTTATAGCCATTCTCTGTCTTTTGCTCCCAGACTGCCGTCCCTGAGAACACTGCACCTGTTTAGTTGATAGCTGTACGGGCCACTCGGCACAAGGCCTCACCAAGTCCTCAGGAGACCTCCTCTTTCACCTACCCTGTGCCACCTGTTTCAGGCTTTTTCTCTCAGGAGGCAGTAAGTAGTCCGTGGTAAGATTTGGGGATTAAGAACGTGAGAATGTTTGTGCGGATGACAGTGTGAGTGCATCTACCCTCTCTCACCAGTCAGTCAATCCTGGGCTTCATTTCCTGCACTGAGCGATCCCACCTGGCCTCCTGCATTGTCCTGGGAGCCTTGCATAGGTGTCCTCGGCATAGCAACGTGGTCTGTATGACAAGCTAGAGAACCTTCCAGCATGGCGAAGGAGGACAAAGGGGCCACCCTGACTGGACTTTAAGGTGGAAACCACACTGCTGTTCTTCCTGGAGGGAGTGTGTGTCTCTTGGTTGGAGTCGCAGTGTGATTCTGGCGCGGTCACGTAGACAAACAGGGTCCCGGGCATAGGCGTGACACCACTGGGAAGCGCGCAGTGCAGCTAAGCTACAAGCAGCACAAGTATAAGAGGAAGAGATCTTCCGCTAAAGGAACGTCCTGAGTCACTTCCAGGGTGTTCGCGAGTCCCTTTCAACCCTGACCTTGCTGCCCTTTATTGCTGGCTTTTCAGCTCTACCTGTCCCCTTGCTGTGGAGTCCTGTCCTTCCCCATCACCAGAGCCTGCGCAGAGGTCTTTAGAAGAACCCCGGCAGCCGACATGGGCGAGGAGGACCAGGCCTGCTCAGGGGTTTCACGCTGCTGTGGCAAAGCTGACGGCGCACAGAGGCATCTTATGGCTTCTGAGTCTAGATCTATAAATATATTTATTATAATATAACAAGAACTTAACAATAAACATATACTATGTACAATACCATTACAGAGAACCCTGTTTTATCATTCACAGAAATAGCCAGTTTTGCTCCAGTGTGACAGATGAGGAGAGAAACGCCAGTCCAGCGTCATCTGTGGAGTCTGGGTGACCACTAGCACCTCCCTTGGAGGCAGACACACACCGATGCCAACGTTAGCCCTGCCCCAGGCAGTTAGGATTTGTGCTCCAGTCCTTGGGTTCACACTTGCACCCTGTTTGACATAAATACTTTAAATGACATACAATGTATGTAGTTTTGTGCTTATTACTTTTTAAAATAATAATATTAAAAACTGCATAACGAAGCTCAGTGTCTTGTCCAAGTGGGAGCCACACTTGTAGTGCTAGAAGTTGATGCCCGGCGTCAGGCTTGGGATTTTGTGTCAGCAGACACTGAAGGATGGAAAGCGTGTTCTCTTTCTCCTTAGAAACAGTCCTTCGCGTGAGTGACAGCGAGCTGACTTCCCAGACAGGAAAATGGTCAATGTTATTTGGTGCCAACTTCAGCTGAACACCGCGGCGGTGGCAGCCTGCTTCCTGCCCTGGAATGGAAACTGAGGGCCGGGTGAGGTTTGAGGGCCTAAGGGCCCTCTCCGAGCCTCCGCGTGTCCTCCCTCCTGGCTTCCCTCTTCTCAGGTCAGTCAGCCACAGGGGAGGGGTTCTGCTCGCGGCCCTCAGGCCATGGCTGTCATGGCTCGTCTAAGAAGGCTGTCTCCATCCTGAGAGCTCCTGTGGCAGGTGCCTTAATATAGAGCTATAAATATCAAAAATAGTCTCCTGTGCTTTGTAGACATTTCTTCTCCCGCCCTCCCTCCGTCCCTCCCCTGGCCTGGGTCCTCCCTCCCTCATGGAGGGAGCTGGACTGGGTCAGGAGCCAGAACTGTGACCTGCTAGAAGGGGCCCTCCTTCCTCTGCCGCCTGAGGCGCAGTCCCAGCGGGCCGTCTGGGAGACGCTTTTTCCAAAAATTAAGCGGGGGCATGGCCCACCCCAGGAGAGATCCTCTATTCTGCACATAGAAAAACGGGAGCAAATGCCCCTCTGGCACTACCTACAGAGAGCCTGGGGAATCCCACAGCAGCATCCCTCTTTTGGCTTCCGCCTTCTCTCAGTCCTTAAAAATAGCCTTTTGTTTATCAAGAAAATGCCTTGGAAATCTAAATAATTCATATTGGATAAGAGAAAGCTAGCACAGCCATCTTGTCCTTCTCCAGCAAAAACATGGTAGAAAACCCCAGGAAGGACAGATGGCCCCGTCTCAGCGGCCCCTGCAGCTGCCACCCCTGGCTCAGTGCGGGCGCCTGACCTCTCTCCGGTCCTGGAAGAGACTGGCAGCCTCCTCGGCCTTGTGCTGCACGGTCCCACCCCTCATTTTCTCTTGGCTACTGGAAGTGTAGATTGATTAAAAAACAAACGTAGGAATCAAAGTGATAAGGACACTTTGATCTTATTCCAAAAGAGCCTGATGCTTAATATTGTCATCGGGTAACTGATCGACGGTGCGTTAGGGGCCACGCTTGCTCTGCAGGAAGGAAAAGAATAGCTTCTCTCTCCCAGTTGAAAAATATGTGAAACTATTGCACCGGGCAGAATGAGCGCCCCCGCAAGCCCTGGCTGGCGCGGTCCGCTTCCTGAGCCTTGAGCGCCGTGCCCCGTGTCACCCGAAGGCGAGGATGATTTCCTACATTCAATGTAGCATATTCAAAATGTTTAGCGCACTGAGTTCCTTGATTGGGTTTTATTGGCCTCTTATTGGTGTTGCTGAAAGATTATCACTGTGTATAGCATTTGCCTCGCCAGACTTGTCCACAGTCTTGTCGTGGCTCCTGCTGATGTCAGCCGCTTTGAATGTATTTCTTTATCACGACGCAGCCGTGTCTGAACACGGGGCAGGGCATGTGGGGAAGGAGGGTCCATGTGTTGGTTGTGGGCTCGTAGGCTTCCATGTTGCCCAGGGCAGGGCCCTCACTGCTGACAATGCCTCCGGTTGCAAAGATCTTGCCATCGAGCACCACGGCACTGGGAGGGAAAGCGGGCAGAGATTTAGGCCCCGAACCTCCCAACGGCCCTGGAGTTGGGCTCCCCACACTGCGTGCACCTCCTGCAGAGGTCACGAGGGCTCGCCTCTGCCCCCTGGCCCAGACCAAGGACACCTGTCCTCTAAGGGCAACTGGGACAGTGCTGCCCGATTCTGTGCACAGAAACACTCATCTGCACCAGCTTTCAGCCCCGCTGGCAGATGAGCGACACCAGCAGAAGAGCCACCTCTTGTGCGGGCACTGGGCGTAGGCCACTGACCCTCTATTGTCTTTCTGTGTTGTACAAACACAGCCTGCCTCCTACGCGAATCACACTGGGAACATGGCTCACAGTTCGCCAGGAACAGCAGAGTGAGGGCCTGATCTAACTGGACACCCACCCGTCCACCGAGCATCCTTCCCCTGCAAAGGGGCTGAGTCCAATGCTCCTGCCACGTCCCTTCAGCACGTTTGACCTGGACTGCTGTCGTCCACGTCTGCAAGGACCAGGCATGCGCTGCAGAACACCCGATGGCTCAGCCTGGACCCTTCCCTCTGGGCCTCCCTGGCTCAGCCCCTGCCGCCCATCAGCCCAGCTCACACCCGCTCTGTGCTTACTCCCCGGACGCCTTTCGGTGGCCCCGTCACCCCGACAGCCAGGCCCGTTTCTAGCCCTGACTTCTCTGTTGTTTCAGCTGTGGGCCATTTCTGCCGGCTAACCTCTGGAAGTGGACTCACAGTTTTTCAAAGGCAGGCCCTGAAGTGCACACGTGGAGAATACATCTGTCCTGACCTTTTAGGGGACACTGAAGCTTCCAGCCTGCTCTCTTGCAGTCCCTGCCACCCAGGGGCCTCATATCCTTCCCTCTATGGCCAACCTTTTCCCTGCTTTTCTTACCAGTCACAGCATAAATCTCCCCAACATTCAGGGTTTCCTTCCCTTTTCATTTCAAATGAGGCATGAGCCCTGGCACTGGGCTCCATGGACGCGTAGTCAGACCGTGCTCTGCACGCTGCCACCATGAGATGATGTCCACAAGAGCACAGCTGGAGAGCCAGACTCCATGCCAGCAAGAACTCAGCAGTTACCTGGCCCAAGGTTTCATCCCTAGAACCTTGCCAGAGCAGGGAGTTATCTGTCCAAGGTGCTAGGGGCCGGGGCCGCCTCTCTTCTAGCTGTGCTAGGAAAACATGAGGCACTCAGTACACGCTCTGTGCTGTTCCTACATTGAGGGTGCACTGGGAGCCTCCGAAAACCTAAGGTGTCTCCAAGAAGGGCCTGGTGTGGCGATGCTGATGCGGGGGGGCGGAGTCCCTTCCTCTCCTCGTTCCTCTTGGGTCAGTGAAGGACAGGGCTGGAAGAGCAGGGGCTTGTGACTCACGGCCACAGGCCCGGGTGGCTGTGGAACCACGCACCCTGTGCCTTCCACGCCTCGCCCTGCAGGGACAGGTCCTGGGTGCTTCTGCCCAGCCAGCCCCCCTGTGGCCCCCAGAGCCATGGCGACCGTGTGTGTGACCTAAGCCTCCCCTCAAGAAGCTGTACGGCTCTGGCAGGCTGTCCTGGGCAGAGCTGCCCTCTCCTCAGGGCAGCACGGTGGCCTCGAGGCCTCCTGAGCCACTTCATTCCCAGCTGGAGCTGTAGGCTCCCGGACCACCCTTCCACACTCTGCTCCAGCCCTACACCTGTTCGTGAGATCACACCGGCCCTGGGGTCCCCCAGCCCTCCCTCAGCCCCTACAGGGCTGCAGCCCTCACCTGCAGAACTGGCGAGAGTGATTCATGTTCGGGCCTGCCTTGATGTTTCCTTTGTCAGGGTCGTAGATGGTGGTGGCTCTGGCGTAAGCCCCGCCCAGGATGAACACGAAGCCATTGAGGGTGACTGCAGGCGCATACTTGTTGTCTGTGAGGACAGCAGAGCAGGCGGGTCAAGGCGCATGGGCCGGCCTTCCCTCCCCTTTCCCCAACTCCCCACCCTGGGGGCTGGAAAGAACTCCGACCTGTCACTCCTGGGCCTGGGACAGGCCAGGGCACGGCTACCTGGAGCTGTGGCCAGCCTGCCCTTCTGCATGTGCTGGGATCCCTGGCTGCTCCTGGGCTGGGGGTGCACCCCCTCGGCACCCCAACCAGCTCTGCAGAACTGGGCTCAGCCAGGCTCTGATCTGGGATGTGGAGGCCAAACCGCTGAGGCGCAGCCACACGGCCCAGGATGAGGAGACCGCTGGTCCTCACCGATCATCGGGGACTCAATGAAACTCCACGTGTTGGTCTGCGGCGCGTAGGACTGGAGGACGCCCGCGGCTCGGCCTGCCTCGTTCACCCCGCCGAACACGTAGATCTTGCCGCCGCACACGGTGGCCGCTGCCGAGTGCACTGCCTTGGGCAGAGGGGCCACTGCCTCCCACTGGTTGGTGATGGTGTCGTACCTGTGGGGGAGCAGGGTCTTGTGCCAGGGCAGAGCCACCTGCTTCCCGCCCTCAGCGTCCCTGGTGGAGCTGAGCCTACAGGGGCGGCCGGGCTGAGGCCCTCGCGGCCTCCCGAGGCTTGGGGCGCCTGTCTGCCTGCCCAGGCTGTCGGCCTCTGCCTCCCTGGTGAGACCCGGCGAGCCGAGCACCGTTCCTGCCGGATGGGCTGGTGGCCCAGTGGGAAGACGCCAAGGGAGGCAGGCAGGACCCGGGTACTGTGCGGGATGGGAGTGGCGCGGTGCTGAGGGGACCAGAGTGCGGGCAGCAGGCCCCGGCCTGCAGTCAGGGCAGGCGGGCTTCCCAGGAGAGCAGTCCCGGCTGGGCCCGGAAGCGGCCATGAGCTCAGGAGGGCAGAGGGCGGGTGCCAGTGTGCCCAGGAGGAGCGCTGCAAGGGAGGGGGGCCGGGTGTGTGTGTAGTGGCA